TGTGTTCTAAGTTCTGTGTTCTAAGTTCTGTCTTCTTACAACTGTATTTATACCAGTTGATTCCAATCCTATCAATCTCTATTCCAAAGGTTAGGGCGTTTCTTATCTCCATTCCAGGGAGTAAAGATTATGTAGCTTAAGCATGATTGTTCGTAGTTAAAGTGATTAATTACCCGCCTGGCACTTAGTTAAGAGGTTTTATTCCCTCCCTAACTTCAGGGGAAAATCCCTACCTGGGAAACAACCTTTCTCAGAGACCTTGGTTAAAACACATAGTGCCAAGAAGGTGAGCAAACATATTAAGAACAGTATGCCATATATGCCAGGTCCCTTGAAACAGCAAGCATGGACTGGCTCCCGGCAGTCTCTATTATCCATGAATGAGTGAGATCATGTGGTATTTTTCCTTCATTGACTGGCTTATTTCACTTAGCATAATGCTCTCCAGTTCCATCCATGACGTTGCAAATGGTAAGAGTTCCTTCCTTTTTAGAGCAGCATAGTATTTTGAAATGACAACTGCATATGAAGAGTCTTTTAAGCTTAACAGGAAATGAATGCCAAGCCTGTTGGTTGGCTAACATACCTCAGGTCACAGGTAAATTTTTGGAAGAAAAAAGTTCCTTACAAAAACCAAGGCTGATCAATTGAAGCAGGTAATGCAAGAAAACATCCCCTCAGGAGGTCATAAATTCACTGGTGAAATGGGTTTGCTTTTTACAATGAGCATGTTAATACAATGAATACGCCATTGTGTAGAGACAGATGTCAAATTCTCTGCTCTTAATTGTTTTTTTACTTCCTCATGAAATTGTCCTTCCAAATTGATTTCCTTTTAAAGTGTAACCTAGCACTTCTTTCTTACAGAATTCTTACTTCTAAATGGCAGGAGATGCACATTAAGCTATAGTAAAGCAAAGAATAAACAAATAGACACAAAAAAATTTCTTGTGAAAGTATGTCCAGCTTCCCAAACCTCTTGGAATGAACAGCTATGTATTTATTGACGACTTTGAACTATACTCTGAACAGTTTTATAGTTCATTCTATCTCTAAGAGGATATTTATGCTATTTTCTGAATATTTAATAAATGTTTAAGTAAATGGAGAATTTAAGTATCACAGTGATACTATTGCAATAAAGAAAATATATTGCCACATTGTTTCCTGGCATCTTATTCTTTTCTTTTCCCTCCCTCTCATTCTGTCTTCCTTCCTTCTTCCCCCTTTCTTTTCTCTCCAAATTAACACCTCCTGATACAATATGACAAAGAATGTCTTAAAGGAAACAATCGTAATTTCAACAAAATTTCAGAATGCATATTTATTATTCCTCATGTGAAAATGGCAGTTTGAAAAACTTCAACACATTAATTGTTTATATGCAAATACATTCTAAGTACAAATGATCCTTATCTGTTGTTAAAACAAGCACAACAGGACTTTTACTTGGAAAATGTTTTTAGTATTTAGAGCTTTTCTTTGTGGGAAATGCTAAATGAGTCATTGCCATGAGTGAAAACAAAACAAACAATCCCAACACATTTCCTGACTACCAAGTAGAAAGACAAAGACTAAAATTTCCCCCAGTGAGTTGAGCTTTTTACACAGGCATATGCCAATTCTATAGTTACATTTTTAGTTAATTTATTTTAGATGTATAGATACACAAGAAGGACATTTAAAAATATACTAAAGAATTTATCTATACTGGGAAATTCCTCCTGCAAACAATGCTCTAATTCAACTTAAAAGCTCATAAGGATTAAAAAAAGACATGGGGGGGGCATTCTTTATCACTTATTTTATTTGTCTTGTAGAAGGTTCACTTTATATAATAGTAAGGTTAATTAGTCATGATGTTTAGAGAAGTAGGCTGCCCTCAGTTTCTCTAAAGAATATTCGAACCCATGGAAATGGAAATTACTGTTATGGTATGGTTTAAAGTACATATACATACACTAATATATGTGTTTATAGGCAGAATAATATATAATATATATAAAACTAAAACAATTCATACTTGTTCTATGTCATACATAATATTTTATTAACTCTTTTTATTATGTATTATGGCATTTTGAGAAGGCATAGATGATTAGCTAGCTGGAGTTGTAGGTATAGATAGTCAGATTCCCTGTATCTCAGGTGAATCAATACACAAAAGAATACTTGAAACAAATAGGGACTTCTATGTATATAACAGGACAAGAGGCAGTATCCCAGTGAGTATGAAAGCTGTGTCATCAGCACTGCATTTTCCTGAAGCAGAAAGTTATGTAATTGTTTTGATGAAACTAATTATTTTATCTTGAAAACAAACATGTTATGTAATTCTCACATAATTATAGTGGAACCTGGGAGTTTTGTTTGGCTCTACAGAATCCTTTGCCTTTCCTAGTCCTTCAGGGGAAGCCTTGGGGAATGCTCAGAAGAAGGCTGACCTCCAGCCCTGCCCTTCCCTCTCTTTTTCCTAACTCCGAGTTTGCAACTATATGACTTCGTTTCAGAGGGGCTATTGTGAGATTCATCAAGTCCCTAATTAAAATTGCCATGAGGATTATATTACTCCAAAGTTCTGACTGTAGGTTTCCACTTTAGACGTAGCAGGGTGACATTTGTACCTGGACCTAAACGGCACCTTGGGAGATAAAGGGAGCATTGCCAGTACAAGGTCATTTTAAACCTAATTGCCTTTACAGTCTCCAGTACTTAGTCTCCACTAGCTAGTCATGGGCCAGGCGGGATACAGCTGACTCAATTATCTAAGTTGTTTTTTTTTTTATTATTGCTTAAAATATTATAAAGAGTAGTGCATTTGTCTCCTTTGTTCTCCCCCTTGCCTTCCCCTGGCCTCCCCTACTCCCAGTGTCTTATGTTCATTGGTTATGCTTATATGCATGCATACGAGTCCTTTGGTTGATCTCTTACCCCCACCCCCAAACCTCCCCAGCCTTCCTGCTGTAATTTGACAGAATTATCTGAGTTTTTTAATGATAATCTAATAAAGAAGTGATTGAAAGGGAACCAACAAGGGGTGTTGAGGCATACAGAGGTTAGCAACAGCTAGAAGCTATCATCAGACCTGGGTCCAGAGGTAGAACCAATACTACCAAAGCCTGGCGAAGACCGAATCCATGGCTGTTGCTTCCAGAACCCCTAATCAGAAGGGCCTGGGCAAAGAAATAGCCTGCCCTCTCTCTATGCCCTCAGTCGCTTATGGTAACTCTCATTCCTGAACCAAGCAAAGCCAGAGTGCAAGGGAGGTAGGGCGGTGCAATCCTGAGGCCACCTTCCAATGCACGGATCAGCACAAAACAAACACATGAACAAGCAGGCAGAGGATGAATGGAAAGTGGCAAATGAAAAATAACCAGCAGGTCAGTTTCTAGTCCAACTCCCCAACTGTGATCCTGCTACTAAGAACCAAGTGTTTTTGTTTTTTAATTAGGTGTGTTTCCATTTTGAGGGGATGCAGTTGCACCTGTTTTACTTTTCAAATCAGTGAGTTTGATTCTATGATACTTATGCATTTGCTGCCTAACTAGAAATGACATACATTTTGTTTGTTTCTGTTTTGAGTATGATTGAAAATTTTTAAAGTGTATCATGAAATGGGTTTGGTGTCCTACCAAATGAAGGCATATAAAACAATTCAGTGTATCAGTTTACTTAAAATGATAAAGAATTTATCATAATTAGCATTCCCTGTTATGAGCAAGCATGCCAGGAAAAATTAAACATTTTGAGCATAATTGTCTCTCAGAAAATATAGAAAATGTGTAATTGGAATGTGCTTCTGAAATGCAGATTACAATAAATAAGTACATGTATTTTCAGCACTATAAAAGCAGCTGACTGGGTATCCACTCTGACTTTGAGCATTTAAAGAGATTTTGTTCATCATCCTTTCTTCTAACTATTCATTCTTCTTTTTGCTTTACCTGGGTTTTATTACTCTGTCCAGTATTTAGTGATTAAACTTGGTCCCAGAAAATATTTTTGAGTAATAAATACTAGCTAACAAAGTTAATTTTTGTTAAGTTTGAGTAGATTTTGCGAGCAGACAGTGTATTTTGTAACTAAGTATCGTCATGATGTTCATTAAAGCAAGCTGTCCTGTATTTACAATCAAAGTCACCGGTAAATATAAATAATTGGGAAAACGATGTTGGCATAGTTACCAGACAATTTTATAAGAAACATAGATGAGTCCTAGCTGCTTTTGCTCAGTGGATAGAGTGGACTGAAGGGTCCTGGGTTCAATTCCAGTCAAGGGCACATGCCTCAGTTGCAGGCTCATGTGCGGGAGGCAGCCAATCAACCAATCCATGTGTTTCTCTCACATCGATGCCTCTCTCTTGCTCTCTCTCTCTCTCTCTCACCCTTCCACTCTCTCTGGAAAAAAAAAAAAAGGAAAAGAAACATAGATGAAAAGTGAATAAGCTGATATTAGTGATTTTTCTTTCCCAACTGGCACTTTAAAGAACATGTCATAGGATTCTTTTGGATTCAACCCAGGCCCCTGAAACTTGCACATATCAATTAGAGTCCTCAAAGCATTAAAGCACAAAGTGACCCACAGGCAAAATAAGACAGTTTAGCATTTCTGGGTTTACAAAGGTACAGTGTTTTATAGTATTTGCTATACTATTAGTATGTATTACATTGTGCTCTTTTATGCTTTGATGACGAGGTTTGGTATAATTCTCTGTCCATTAATTTAAAACTTAAGGATATTATCCATATCTGATAAACATTTATGAAATGTCAGGTATATATTACCTAGATTTATTTGATGATGAAAAGTTGTCATTTTGTAGCTAGAGATGTCTACTTTAACATTTTTTCTATTGCATCATTTTAAAATAAATAGAATGGCTCCCTCATTATTTCTTGAAGGAGTATACTTAGAATGGAGAATCAATAAGGAATGTACCACGCTGTGACTTACCTGCTGTTCTTTGAGGATTATTTTTTGTCACTTTTTTTTTTGTCAGCACCTGGGATGTATCTGAGGTCCAAAAATTGGAAATTAGAAAATTATAAGCTTTAGAAGTCATCAGGAGAGCAAAGAAACAAGGTATAAATTTCTAAATAATCCAATTTTATTTTTTTCTTCTAGATCCAAATATGACTTTATTTTAGAGATTTTTGTCTATCCTTTACTTAATGCAGTAATAAATTACACACACACACACACACACACACACACACACACACACGTGTGTGTGTATATATATATATATATATATATATATATATATATTTACTTACCTCAAATAATAGCTGTTTGGTTAATGATTTTTTGTCTTAAGAGCCCTAACTAGTTTGGCTCAGTGGATAGAGCATTGGCCTGTGGACTGAAAGGTCCCAGGTTTGATTCTGGTCAAGGGCATGTACCTTGGTTGCGGGCACATACCTAGTAGGAGGTGTGCAGGAGACAGCTGATCAATGTTTCTCTCTCATTGATGTTTCTAACTCTCTATCCCTCTCCCTTCCTCTCTGTAAAAAAATCAATAAAATATATTTAAAAAAATAAGAATTCTTGAAAAGTTACTCACTTTTTATTGACATTCTATTTTACTACAATCTACATTAAATAAGTATATTTTAAGAAGTGATATTTTGGCATTATAATTATAGGGAAAGATATACTGACCAATTTACTGAATATACAGTGTATAATCAAATATATCTGACAGATCTGAATTTTACATATTGTTTATATCAACCAAATCCTTCTGCTTTGCTAATCGTGTTTCAAGAGGACTTCTTAGCCTAATGGGCACTCACTATTTTCTTGGTATATCTAAGCTTTATCATTTTTTTAATTAAAAACAAAATTGTAAAGGAAAAGAAAAAACAAACAAGATGACAGATTTTGTATCTTCTAGTATTGAGACAGGCAAGTAAGCCAGGACAAGGGAAATAGGGAAACTGAGAAAGTCAATGGATAGTTAAATGGCCAAGCAGTTTACAGCCATCTAGTAAATCACAAAATCCTATCTTCTGTAACCAAGGACACTTATGAGTAAATGGTTCATATTTCTCTTTCCCAACCACACAGTAAATTAGCTTAAATCACCCTACTCAAGGAGAGAGAGCAGAAATCCAGTTAGTGCCATTTGCCAACCACACTCAAGAAGAAATGAAGCTAAGGCAATGAATCTCATTTTGGTGCATTGTTATAGAGCTGATGAATATTCTAGAGATCCTCCACTAAGACCTTTCCCAAACTCACAGCCTTAACACCCTCAAAATGAAGGTCCCAGCGCACTCTTTCCCAGGACTGCCCCCTTCCTTTTCTCTCCCCATCTCCTTCCCCCACAGGCGTGCATCTCCTAACCTAAACTAAGGGATCCAGGAGGCTTGCATCCAAGGAAGCAATGGGCAAAGGCAGCTCATCCTGGGCTAACCCCTGAACCTGATACTGTTGTCATTAAGCTCGTTATTAATTAAAGCAGTGGTTCTCAACCTGTGGGTCGCGACCCCTTTGGCGGTTGAACGACCCTTTCACAGGGGTCGCCTAAGACCATCCTGCATATCAGATATTTACATTACGATTCATAATAGTAGCAACATTACAGTTATGAAGTAGCAACGAAAATAATTTTATGGTTGGGGTCACAACATGAGGAACTGTATTTAAAGGGCCAGAAGGTCGAGAACCACTGAAGTAAAGGAAAGGAGCAAAGGGAAGAGAGATGCATACCTGGTAATGTTGGTGTTTGCTTGTCAGTCACACTTGAAAACAAAGATCATTGGCCAGAATGGGCATGGCCACTGCAAGGGCAGGAGGTTTGGGATAGCGAATCCCCTGAACAAAGGAATTCGCTCTCTTGTGTTGTTAGTGCTCTTGGGACTTGTGTGACTCTGGGTTTGTGGTGCTCCCCTATGTTCACCCACATGGCCCATGGCCATGTGCACCCCCACACAATGGACTAATGAACTGAAACTAGCCTGACTGAACTGGCCCCGGCTCCAACATGGAAATGACACTCTGAACACTGGCTTTGCTTCCAGCTTAACTGAAACCCCAGCAACACTTCCTCTCGGACTAGACTAGGAGAAAGGGGACTTTGGAAACAAGACTCAGTTCCAGAGGTTCCCCTCCCCACGGCTTTGCTTTCTCCCACCTCCCTATCTGTCATCAGTGGACCTCATGTAACCCACTTACACCTCCTCTTTTCACTGTCATGTATAAAATAAGGTGCAAAACTGCCATTCTCTGGAGCATTTGCTCAATCCAATGAGGTTTTGATCACTGGCCACTGTCATCAGTTTGGTTCAAATAAACCCAGAAAAATTTTTACAGGTTTAGATGTTTCTTATGTTGACAATTCCATAATGCTTTAGGCACAAATCTAATAAGTTTTAAAAGTTAATTTATGGATACTGGAATGTTCTTATATTGTTTTTTTCAATATGGATATCCTGGGAGACTTTTCAATTAGACTGTTTTGCTACCAAATGCCAAATATTTATAGATGTGACATGTATAAGAAATCAATGTCTTTAAATTTTAAAGTACAAAATATTATATGAGAAATAAAAAAGGAAAAGAATAAAATTCTATGGCTAACACAAGAGGTAAGTCGTGGCTGTGGTTTCCATTAACACATGACTAGAGAGTAATTTTCATGCTACAGTGTAGGAGGTGGATGAACATGAAGTCTCTGTTAGGAATTGCCAGACCTTTTATTGTTTTTTTTTTTTAATTAAATCTTTATTGTTCAGATTATTACATTTGTTCCTCTTTTTTTTCCCCCCCATAACTCCCCTCCTCCCAGTTCCCACCCCACCCTCCGCCCTCACTCCCCACCCACTGTCCTCATCCATAGGTGCACGATTTTTGTCCAGTCTCTTCCCGAATCTCCCACACCCCTTTCCCCCCCAGGAATAGTCAGTCCATTCCCTTTCTATGTCCCTGATTCTATTATAATCAACAGTTCATTCTGTTCATCAGATTATTTATTCACTTGATTCTTAGATTCACTTGTTGATAGATGCATATTTGTTGTTCATAATTTGTATCTTTACCTTTTTCTTCCTCTTCCTCTTCTTAAAGGATACCTTTCAGCATTTCATATAATCCTGGTTTGGTGGTGATGAACTCCTTTAGCTTTTCCTTATCTGTGAAGCTCTTTATCTGACCTTCAATTCTGAATGATAGCTTTGCTGGATAAAGTAATCTTGGTTGTAGGTTCTTGGTATTCATCACTTTGAATATTTCTTGCCACTCCCTTCTGGCCTGCAAAGTTTCTGTTGAGAAATCAGCTGACAGTCGTATGGGTATTCCCTTGTAGGTAACTGAGTTTCTTTCTCTTGCTGTTTTTAAGATTCTCTCTTTATCTTTTGCTCTTGGCATTTTAATTATGATGTGTCTTGGTGTGGTCCTCTTTGGATTCCTTTTGTTTGGGGTTCTCCGCGCTTCTTGGACCTGTAAGTCCATTTCTTTCACCAGGTGGGGGAAGTTTTCTGTCATTATTTCTTCAAATAGGTTTTCAGTATCTTGCTCTCTCTCATCTTCTGGCACCCCTATAATTCTGATGTTGGTACGCTTGAAGCTGTCCCAGAGGCTCCTTACACTATCCTCGCATTTTTGGATTCTTTTTTCATTTTGCTTTTCCGGTTGGGTGTTTTTTGCTTCCTCGCATTTCAAATCATTGACTTGATTCTTGCGCTCCTCTGGCCTGCTGTCGGGAGTCTGTATAGTATTCATTATTTCAGTCCGTGTATGCTTAATTTCTAGTTGGTTCCCCAATATAAGATCGAGGGTCTCATTAGTTTTCTTGTAGATCTCATTAAGTTTATCGGCGGCTTCTAAACAGTTCTTGAGAGACCTTAAAAGTGTGGTTCTGAACTCTATATCTTCCATTGACAATTTTGTCCTGTTTCTTTGTCTCTGCATTTTGTTATGCTTCCTTGGTGCACCCCCTAGTGGTCTTTGTTCTCAGTCTTATAGTTAAATCTTGATTGTTGTAGCTAATTCCAGGGAGGGTTTGACCTCCAGGCCAAGTGGCTATGAGAATCAGCTGTGTCAGCAGTGAGAGAACTTCTGTCCTCTAGGGAGGTGCTAATCTAGCCTTTGCCTGAGGCTATCCGGCAAATGCCTCTGTGCAGGGCTTGGGCGGGGCAGAGCAGGTCCCAGGGGATCAACAGGGTGGGCCGGAGAGAGCAGCTATGGCAGTTCTCAGTCCCGTCCCCAGGGGCTCTGCCTCTCTGAGTCCCAGCACCCTCCGCAAAGCTCAGAGAGAAAGCTGCACTCGCTCTGACCGAAGCCAGACAGTCCCGCCTCTCCCGATTGAGTCTGGGTCCCCAAAGACTCGCCCGGATCTGGAGCCCAGAGTCTGCGACTCCCTCCCGATTGAAAACGCCAACCGCGCCCTCCTCCGCCAGCCCGCTCCGCGCACCCCGCACCTCAGAACTTGACCTCAGCACTGCGCCTCCTCTGAGCTTCCGCATGCGCCTCTCCCTCCTCCCAGTTGTAGGACTTCCACCCAGCCGGCGCTCCTGTGGCTCTGGGTGCTGTCCCTTCCGTTTTTTGGTTTCACCCCTGAAGCAGTTGTTCAAAGCAGCAAACTCCGGCGCCAACCTATGCCGCCATCTTGGTTCTCCCAGACCTTTTAAATTAAGCTTTTGGTTTGATGTATAAGAATTATCACTTAAAAATTTGATAGCATATTTATTTAATCTATAATAATGAAAGCATAATATGCTAATTAGACCAGACAGCCAAACGATCTTCATTCTGGATGTCCTTCTGGACAAAGCCGTGGTGGCAGAGGCCAAGGCAGAGGTGGTTAGGGGTGATCAGGCAGGCAGGCAGAGTGGTTAGGGGCAATCAGGCAGACTGGTGAGTGGTTAGAGAAGATCAGGCAGGCAGGCAAGCAGTTAGGGGCAATCAGGCAGGCAGAGCAGTTAGGGGTGATGAGGCAGGCAGGCAGGGAGAGTGGTTAGGGGTAATCAGGCAGGCAGGCAGAGTGGTTAGGGGTGATCAGAAAGACAAGGGAGAAGTTAGGGGTGATCAGGCAGTCAGGTGAGTAGTTACATATGATCAGGCAGGCAGACAGAAGGGTTA